AAATCGAGCTTTTTGACAATTGCTGAAGAGCTTTGATTCTTTCTGTCATTATTAAGACCAAAAATTAATTCACTTGAGGATGGCGCAAAGGAGGTGGCATTCTCGATGTTGAACCATTTGATTACTTCTGAAAAAAACCACTTGCTCCAGTGGCAGTTACAAAAAGTATGAATTATTGAATCATTTTGTCTGCAGTAAGGACAAAGCGCATTTTCTGCAATACTATACGTGAACAGTTCTCTTTTTGTGACGACAATTCTGTGTAAAAGTTTAAAGTAGAATTCTCTTAGTTTGTTATCTCTGCAAATATTTTTCACACGGGAGAAATGATGCCTTGCAAGTATTATTTCAGGTATGAGGTCTCTTTCCCATTTCATGTCAGTGTTTATTTCATGTTGATCTTTACTAATCAAGAGCCAGTAGTAATTTCTATTTCTCACTTTAAGTAAATCTAATGAAAGGTCCGCTGAGAGCTGGAAGGAGCTTTCAGACAAAATACTGGTCTTATCAATGCGGCATCTCCGTGCGTCATCCATCAGATTCTGAGGAATCGCAGAAACAACTTGCATGTATTGTAAGAAATTACCGTTCAGTTGAAATTTCCTCAAAAATTCTGAGTAAGAAAGTACCTTACCATCATCTCCTAAGAGATCTTGAACAAGAAAGACATTTTTATTCATCCAACTTGTATATAAAAATGAACGGCCACCAATTAAAATATCTTTATTGTTGAATAATACAAACCGGCAAAACTGCGTATTATAAGACGTTTTAAGTTCTAAGAAATGTAGTAATATCAACTTATAGAAGTAAGGGAGACACATTTTATCAAGAGAATTCTTGTCATAATTACAACGTAGCAGGAAGTTCAAGCCACTGTATTTATCGAAAAAGTGGTTGGCAATGACCTTCCATGATTCGTCGTCATGCGCAGGTTGATTTTGTTTCTTCGATTTTTCCAGATAATCTAAAGATGCTTGAATTAACAGTTTGAACCAATTGTGTTGGAAAATGGAGTGTTGAAAGTGGGTGAACCAGCTGTGAGATGCCAAGAGATTTCGTTATAAGACACTTACCAAAAAGTGCCTAGAATGGTGTCAAGTTTTTGCATCTTTCCTTTAAAATTGAATTCCTCGTTTTGTTTCTCATGGTATGAAATATAGGTTCCAAGGACTCCAAGCGGTTCTTTGGGCCACTTAAAGTTAAAGGGTTCGTCCTTGTGATTTCTTAATGACCCTAACCAAAGCGCTTTGGTTTTTTACGGGTTTAGCCTAAGACCAGATAGATTTCCAAAGGAATTTACAACCGTGATAGCTCGATTGACTGAATTGCAATCATTGCATAAAAGAGTTGTATCGTCGGCAAACTGGCTTAGTTTCAGCTCTTTTTGAAAGACTGTTATTCCTTTTATTATTTGTCTTGTCTGATTTTGCACGCTAAAATTTCCGCCCCTACGATAAATAAATAAGGGGACAAAGGGCAGCCTTGTCTCACTCCCCTCGACAGTTTAAAGAAATTTGTGCAAAATCCATTGTTTAGAAATGATTCTGTCAAGCACTTGTAGTCTATTTCGAATGTCCCTTTCTTTTTGGTGTAACTGTTTAGCTTTATTTTTAGAGAAAGGAATAGTGATGCCACGTATTTCCATCTTAATGAGTTCCCATTTCAGCCTTTTGTCTTCAATTCCTGAGTATTTGTAGCTGTCAGTGATCAATTTAACATAAATTTCGTCTTCTAACAATGAATTATTAAATTTCCATAGCCCAGAGCCTCTATTGTCATTTTCCAGTTTCAGTTGGACTCTAATTGCTTTGTGATCAGGCGCGATGGAAACTAAAGTGTCCAAATGAGAAACTTGATCTGCAAGGGGTTGTGATACGAGGAAAAAATCAATGCGAGAAGAGAGTTTTGAAGCTTTGGATTCGTAGGTGAAACACAGCTTACTTGGATTAATATTTCTGTAGACATCAATCAGTGAAAATTCTTTCATCATGAAAATGAGTCGATTGCGGTATGAAGTGGGTTTCCACTGGGACCCACCTTTTTTGTCAACAGCTTCCAGGGTAACATTCCAATCGCTGCCAACAATGAGATTTCCAATGTCTACATTTGTTATCAAAAAGTTCTTCAGATTGCATAAAAAGGTTAACTGTTGTTGTAGATCGTTGGGGGCATATATGTTGCGCAATGAAATATTTGCGGAGCCGGAGCTCAGGTTAGTTGAAGTGATTCTTCCGTTTTGGTCTCTATTGAGACTTTCAACAGTATAGCTGGATGAAGGGTTAATTAAAATACAAACACCACGGCTGTGTGTTGATCCATGTGAAAAGAAAATGTCACCTCCCCATTCATTACTCCACGTATTTGCGTCATCAGGAACTGAATAAATTTCTTGTACGAAATAGAATTGACAATTTTTATCTTTTAAAAAACTAAATATACTGTTTCTTTTGACGCGATTTCTCAAACCCCGAATGACAAGATACTGTGTTCACTTATACCGTTATTGTAGGATCAGGGGTTTGAAGAAAAAATAACCAAGAGAGGATCTGTTAATTAACTGGCCGATGATTAGGAGAATAACTACAAAAGCATATACATAAATAAACAGGAAACAAGATCGGGGACATAAAGTACTTATAACAGAAACAGAAAGCAACGTTACATTGGAAGCATCCTCTTGCATGCTAGATTTCTTTTGATGCCCTTCCCCTGTACCAGAATTACAAATTCTATCTCGTCATCACTGCCCCAGGGATCCCATGAGATAGCTAGACGCATGCGCATAATCAGTGCTTTTCGCGCGCTTACTCGGTATTCTCACAAGGTTTCGATACGCGAAAGAAAATTATTTCTTTTGTCATCTTTATGCAAATTTGAACCTATTCCTTGCATTGAATCACTAACACGACATGGATGGAGCGGATCTGGCGTCTGATACAAGGAGCAAAGGCGTAGAAGATTCTCAGGACATGAACACCTTGGCACAACTTGCAAAGGCTTCGGAGACACAAACAGCAATGCTGGCTAGTCTCAAGGAAGACCTTCTCCTTGGTACTGACTCAGACGAGGATGGAGAGGCCGTTCAGAGCCTAAATGACTACGTTGATCTCAACGCCGCCTTAACTGATGTGCTCGACCTGAGCGACACGCATACCAGTACGACCGCGGTGGCGAAACCTGCATCATGCCCTGACTCAGGGTCGCAGGATGACATTTTGGAAAGCCTGACTCAGGCATTTGTGCAAACCAAAGAGAAATCTCCTGCGATAGCAGAAAAAATTGCTGGTTTAATTGACATCATGGTTACTGAGGTCTCTCACCAAACACAATCAAAGAACGAGTTGAAAAATATCCTCCTCCAGAAAATTGTAAATTCCTGTCCACCACCACCGTTAACAAAGAAATTTGGGATTTGCTGCCACGACACAGCAGAACGGTTGACCTAGCTTTCCAGTGAGTTCAAGAACCGCTTGTTCAGGGTTTGTCAGCCCTGTCTATTTTAGGAGACCAGTTGGTAAAGGACCTTCACGCTGGCAAAACATTAAATACTCGTCAGATCTTGGATCACGTGATGGATAGCATTGCTCTTCTAGCTAATGCCAATTTTAAACTCAATATGGCACAGCGAGAGTTGATAAAACCGGAACTTAACCCTCCATACAACCCTCCTGTGTAAAGATGAAATTAAACCTTCAACAAAATTGTTTGGAGATGATTTATCCAAACATTTGAAGGATATGGCTGAGGCAAAGAAAGTTGGCCGACAAATGCAGAAAACTTCTGAAACTCGAACGGCAAGTCAAGGCTATTTCAAGGCAGGATGGCAGAAATTTCGCCGTCCAAACTTTAAACCTTATGACAGACCATCCAGTCAGAAAACTTCTCAGCAGCGTCCTTTTTTAGGCTACAGCCGGGCACAGAAGAGTGCCCAGAAAAAGCCAAGTCAACCCACCAACAAAACCCAGTAGAAACACAGGTAAGAGAAAACTACCCAACTCCTATTGATAAAGCAAATCTGTCTCAAAGGGTTGCTAATTTCTCGGCTGGAGGGTTACAAGACTATGTTGAAGGTTGGAAGTCACTGACTACTGACCCTGTCATATTAGATGCTATAAAGCACGATCACATCGAGTTTGGGGATGTTTCTCCTCAGGTTTACCAGCCAAAACAAATGCCATTTTCTCCTTCTGAAAGGGAGATCATTACTGAGGAAATCACCAAGCTCCTCGATAAAGGAGTCATTGAACAAATAGACTGTGTCCAGGGTGACTTTATCTCTACCATGTTTGTGCGTCCCAAGAAAGATGGCACTTTTAGAATGATTTTAAATCTTAAACAACTCAACGAATTTGTATCCTATTACCATTTTAAAATGGATACGATTCAGACAGCCCTCAAAGTCGTGTCCCGGGTGCTTTATGGCATCGGTAGACCTTAAGGACGCCTATTATTCTGTTCCTATTGCATTAGAGGATAGGAAATACTTGAAATTTGAGTGGCAAGGTAGCTATTTTCAATATACCTGTTTGCTCAATGGCCTGGCTTGTGCTCCTCGCCTATTCACAAAAATATTAAAACCAGTCTACTCTCATCTCAGATCTTTGGGTAATATCTGTATGGGGCATATAGATGATTCATTTCTCTTGGGATATAATTATACTGCCTGTGCCACTAATATACAGGACACTGTTGATACCTTCCTTAGTCTGGGTTTGTGGTTCACCCAGAAAAGTCAGTCCTGATTCCAACACAAGAATGGAATTTCTTGGCTTCTTGCTGAATAGTATAAACATGACAATCCGACTCCGACCCGTTAAAGCGGAACGTGTATGGCTAGCTTGCCAGAGTTTACTGGACAAAAGTCAAATGACTATTAGAGAAGTGGCACAAGTTATAGGGTTGATGGTTTCTAGTTTCCCTGCCGTTCAGTTTGGGGAACTATACTATAGGGCCCTAGAAAGGAATAAAATTCTTGCTCTGCAGGAAAGTAGGGGCAA